TAGACGTGTGAACCAATTTTGAGGTTTTGGGGACAGGTAAAGGAAAAAATCCAAGTAATTTGTATTAAACTACCACTGAAAACCGAATGATATCTATTATATTTACATTTTCCAAAAATGTCCAAAGCAGAATACAACATTGTAGTTCATGTTTTACTGGCAGTAAAGATCACAATAGCCAGAAAATGGAAATCTTTTATACCGCCATTTTGGACCGAGGTTAAAAACCAACTTCTTTTTCAATTAAATATGGAAAAAAAGAATAGATAACTATCAAAACTTTACCCAAAAGAGGATTCATAATTGGGATCTATGGATAAAATCAATCCCTGACTGAGCAAAATAAACACAAATCTCAGTGATTAGTCGAGAAAACATTTATCCTTTCTAAGAACTGTCCCGCCGTACATTTATGTTGTATGCTGGACATTTATATTTGTAACCCCTTCTAATAAGATGGGATAATGTCATATTATGATTGTGAGGTTTTATGGAGGGGGAGAAGAATATTGTATGTTTAATGTGAATTTTATGTCTATGTATGGTCATTTTTTTTTTTTGTATAAACAAAAAAAAAATCAATAAAGAATAAATAAATGGAAAAAAAAGTAGGAAGGTCAAAAGGTTAAGTGATGTACAAGAAATAAAACATGTCACAGAGTGAGAAAAAACAAGTAGGACACAGAGTGATCCAAGAGTCCCATATGTTTGTAATCATAAATTTGCACTACTAGACTTCATCATGTATACAGACTAGATGTCATTAAAAACCTGGGCAAATGGAAACAATGAGCTCTTCCACATTTTAGCTATACACAAAAGGACATGTTTACACATATGGGCATTCATATGTGTTTTGGCTATATAACATATGTTTTAGGAAAACATTTAAAATGCAGCTTCTGATTTATTTACTAATGATACAAAGAGGCACCAAAACAAAACAGTATAAGGAAGTTGGGAAAAGTGAACCTGTGGGTTGATTGCCTAACCCTACGGCAGTTGTACTTCTCTCTGGCTCAGTGTTACAATCATTCACTATCAGTACTAGCACTAGACAGGGGAGCCATTTGTCTCCCCTGTTGTATATTTTGGCTTTAGAACCTTTGGCATATAGGATTAGAACTGATATAGCTATTAATGGAATTTCAATGTCCAATTTTATCTCACAAAGTTAGTTCTCTTGCGGATGAAATTCTCATAGCCTTAACTAATCCTACTCAGTCTTTATCATATTTTAAGGAAGCGCTTCTTTTTTTATGGGAAGGTCTCCTATCATAAAGTGAACTCACAGGCCCTATCCATTGATATCTCAGAACCACAATTATCTCAACTTAAAATGACAAATAAGTTCGATTGGAAGTTGACGTGTATTTAATATCTTGGAAAACGATTATACAGACTTGGCTTTGTTAACAACTTTAAATTTGGAACATGTATGGGAGTAGGGGAAAAATTTAACTATCCTGGTTTGGTTGCAAAGCCCAATTTAAAATGACGGCACTTCCATGGTTCCTGTATCTATTTAGAAACATCTCCCTTCCCCCCCCCCCTTTGTTAAAAGATATCCAGTCATATATAATTAAATTCATACATGCTCATAGAAAACTGAGAGCTTTTTTAACTACGTTATATAGATCTAGAAAAAAAGGAGGTATGGGGGTTCCAAATCTAACTTATTATTGTACAGCTTCCTCTAAATCACAAACCTGGTTGTATTGCTCAAAAGTGGAATCAGTATAGAGGGTTGATATAGAAGATTCTTATCTGAAAAGAGGAAGGGTATCCTCGTTCTTATGCTCACAATCTGAGCTACCCAAATTTACGGCTTTACTGCCGACTATTAGTTTTAGTTTAAAAACATGGATTAATTTGCTAAGAAAGGTACCCCAATTCAACCAATCTCACGATATGCTCCGTTAAAGACTTTAGAAACAATTTATTCCCGACTTAGATATCTCAGGGTGGGTGATGGCTGGTGTGTAAACTATTGATCATATGCTAAGAGTAGACATCATATTACCCTTTTCTTCTTTACAGTCACAATATAACATTTCACACCATGATTTTTATAAATATCTTAGGATTCGGCATTGTCTGGCATCTTTAACGCTATCTAGAGGATCAGCAACCAACGCCTTTTTTTCTAATTTATTAAAAAATGCGCCCAAAGGACGTAAATCCTTTTCGGTATGTTACCAATCTCTAATATCCTCAATATACTCAGAGAAACTTTCCTTTAAATCAGGATGGGAAAAAGAGTTAGGCCGTTCAATTTCTAACGAAGATTGGATGTCCCTGTTAAGATTCACCACACAAATCTCAAGATGTACAAACCATATAGAACTATTACACAAACTGCTTACTAGATGGTACTTAACCCCGGTCCGATTACAACATATGTACCCAAGTGTCTCTAATCATTGTTGGCGAGAAGGTGGGGAGATTGACTCACTATCACATATCTGGTGGGATTGCCAAAAAATGTCTTGGGTGTGGAAAAATTTATATGATCTAATTGAATCTAATCTTCAGATCTGCATTCCCTTTTCTTTAGCGGTAGCATTGTTAAATAATTATACGATAACAATTCCATTACAAACTAAATTATTGATATCCTTTTTCTTTATGACTTTTATTGCTAAAAACTGGAAGAGCCCTGAAGTTCCTTCAATGCAAGGTTTATTAAAAATGCTTTATAATATATGTCAAATTAACTATATGGCTACTAATTCTTTGTTCAAGTTCTGGAAAATCTGGGGTTCTATATTAGAGAAAAGGGTTAGAGAAAAGGATGGCTGGCTGAGAAAAAAAAACTAAGAATAAACTTGAATAATGACACAGAGGCAGGTATTAACATTAACATATAGTGCATTTGGAAGTAAGATAGTATAGTGCATTTGGAAGTAATCAGAAAGTCCCAGGTCTCTATCTCTAATCTTCATCTCTACTCTTAACATTAATTGAAATGATGTATAATTTTTTCTGTATTATTTTGATGTATTGTTATAGTCTTGTTTTATTTTGGTATATACTCTAATAAAAAATATTTGAAGAGTTAATGTCGATTGTCACTGTCCGCTAAATTCTAATACACCATTTTGAAAATCCAATGAGTGCTCTCATCCTATATGTGTGTGTGTATTATTTGTTAATATGTATGTATGTATGTATGTATGTATAATATATATATATACATACATATTAACAAATAATAGATTCATTATCTTTTTTTTCTTCTTTTTATCCCAGTGTGGCATTGCAATGTGCTGCACATTTTTAATGACAACAGAGAAGTTAGTGGTATAAGTCATAATGCTAGTATCAATAAGCATATCTGTGACACAGTGAATGCAGATGTTGGAACACCCAAGTGGCCCCAGTTTAAGTTATCAGGTCACATGCGAAACAAGCACAACATTACTATCTACTGGCAGTATGCTAAATAAACGTTAGGCAATATATATGCGACATTAAGTGGGAAACTGGAGAAGGATAGACAAAAATCAAGCCTTGTGGTGGATGTAGGAGCTGGCAAGAGTCCAGTCTCTCATCAAACAATGCCACTTTGGGGTATAACTGAGTGTCGATGCAGCAGGACAGTCAGCAGGCACAAGGGCCTATTTTTAAGCTTCGGTGGCTCCATAGTGGAGAGTGAAGGTGTACTCAACTGGAGCCTCAAAAGCTTCCCGTGTAAGCCAGTCGCTCAGGGTAGAATGGGTTTGAGCAGAGTTGTTGGGTATTTGCACCCTGCTTCTGTTATGTTGCGATAGCCCAAGCAATTACACAATTTTCAGGTTTGGCTTGATCTTGGAGCATGCTCCCCTCCCACCCCCCCACACCCCCTGGGGTGCCCTGTGAGTCTCTAAGTTGCTGGAAGTATGTTTCTTGGGTATTTCCCCGGCATTGTTCTCTGACACTGCATTTCAGCTGCTTCCAGAAATAAGCAAAGATGATGTTGAGCCTGGCCTCAAGTCTGGTTGATTCATTATTTTAGCAGCAATGCAGTCTGACATTTTATAATGAACTTCATTATGATGAGTTCCTTAATTTGAATTCCATAATTCCTTGAATTGAATTTGATAAAATGCTATCAATTTAATCAAGGACATTACATCAAAAACATCACCACATTTCAGAATACTTTTTTTCTTCTTTTTTTTAAATATATGATTTTTATTTTCATAAAAGGTAAGTTGGGGTAAAGAAAATAAAAAGGGGAGATGGAGGAGCACAAGAGTTATACATTTAATGAGTATAGTACATAACAACATTGCAGCAGTCTGGACTTTTTTTTCAGTTTGCATAGATCCTCTACGTCCAGAGTTTAGTGGGGCAGCAACTAGGTGTAACTATAGATAGGTAGATGGCCTCTCGTCTGATTATATGTCAGCTCTTGTGTGTGTTCCTCTGGGTTTGTCTGTTTGTTTTCTGTACTTCAACATTTATCGATAACATATCAATCTCCAAGTACCTTGTTTATGTTTTTAGTCTTGTTTAAGCGTGTGGTCTCTAGCTATGGTTTCCATAGTATCTCTAGTTTCTTTGACTTATTGGGGGAGTCCGAGGAGAGTGTTTCATATCTGTAATATTGATATACTTTATCAGTAAATTTTGTGTTGGTTGGGCAGTAGGTGGTTTTCCAATAGAGTGATAAGGGGTTCCTGGTCGCCAGGATGATCAGAGTGGCCACTTTCCTAGTGTTCAGTTTCCAAGTGTCCGAAAATAGCAATAAAAGGCTAACCGTAGGGGTGAGTTGGTGACGTTCTCCTGTTCCCTGTCCCTTATCAGTTTATTTTTGTTTGTCCACAATGGTTTGATCTTTTCGCATTCCCACCATATGTGGATCATATTGCCTACATCAGCACTACACCTCCAACAGCTGGGACTTACTGTAGGATATATTTTGTTCAGTCTTTGTGGTGTGAGGTACCACTGATAAACCACTTTTTTGTGGGCTTCTATATGGGAGAAGCAGGACGTGATGCCTCGGAACGCGTTTAGTGATTTGAGCCATTGTTCATCTGTGAGCTTGGGCATTCCCTCTTTTTCCCATTGCGGTACATATTTAAAGGAATGTGGAGTGTATCTATCCAGTAAGGCTTGGTAGCATAGAGATAGGGTTTTTGGTCTTGTTGGGGCGGAGTGGCATCTGTCAAGGAGCTTTTTCTGGTAATCCCGTCTGGGATCAGAATTGTGTTCTGAGAACTCAGCTTTAGTATTGATGATACTCTTCAGTTGAAGGTACGGAAAAATAAAATAATTTGGTAGCCTATATTTCTTTTGTAAGTTGGGGAAGGGCAATATTGTTGACTGGGAGCATAGGTCCCGAATACAGTGTATGCCCAAGGCTGTCCACGATTTCAATGAAAGCCACAGTGATATTGCTTCTAGTGCTGTTAAAGTAGCCTGTGGGTGAAATTTTTTGTTGTTGGAGTATTCGGAGTGTAGGCTATCCCAGACCTTTATGGTAAGAGCCATCGTGAGGTATGTCCCTGATATATTTGCCCTATGCGGTTTCGGTGTCCAGAGGGTGTTTGTCAATGACTGTGTGCTTTCTACATCACTTTTCATGTCTACCCATTGGAAGGTGTTTCCAGGGGCATGAAGTCTGACTGTTGCTTCAAGTATGGCTGCCTTGTAGTAGGTTAGTAGTTTAGGTATTCCCAAGCCTCCCTCTTTCAGGTTTAATTGCAGGAGGGAGAGAGGTAGGCGTGGTTTCATTTTGCCCCATACAAATCTGTTTAGTGTTTTTTGCATATTGAACCATATTAGCGGGACATGTAGTGATAACATCCTAAAGAGATTTAGGACCTTGGGTAGTATCATCATTTTGATAGTTTGTAATCTTCCCATCCAAGATATTCGAACATCTCTCCATTTCTGGAAAGAAGAGTTGCATGTGTTCATAAGTGGTATATAGTTGAGGGATACCATCTTCTGTCTATGTAGAGCCAGTTTGACCCCTAGATACGTGATGTATTTTTGTCTCCATTTGAATCGATATGAGTTTTGTAGTGTCTGGATTTGTTGCATCTGTAGGTTAATCGGTAGTGCTTGCGTTTTACATGTATTTAGTTTGTAGTAGGATACTTGTCCATAGGTTGTTAATAGGGCTAAGAGCTGCGGTAATTCTGCTTCAGGTTTACTTAGGGAGAGTATAATGTCGTCTGCAAACATGGCCAAGCGGTAGTTGATATTATGGATTTGTATGACTCTGATCAGTGGGTCTTGCCGGATTTTGAGAGCTAGAGGTTCCAACGACAAGATGAATAAAAGGGGGGATAGCGGGCATGAGATGAAGCCAGAGTAAGATACTTGTACCAAAGGATTTCCATATAGTGCCATTATACCTTGAATGAATTCTGTGGGGAAATTGTATTTGGTCAGAACTGATGTCATATAAGCCCAATTAAGCCGATCAAAGGCCTTTCTGCGTCAAGGGTTAATAGGAGGCCATCCGTACCTTGTCTCTCCACATGTGATAGTATATTCAAGATTTTTCTGGTGTTATCACAACCTTGTCTGCCTCTAACAAAGCCCGACTGGTCATTATGTACAATTCTGGGGAGTATTGTAGCTAACCTGTTCGCTAAGAGTTTGGCATATAGTTTTGTGTCGCAATTTAGTAATGATATAGGGCAGAAATCAGGGCACTGAGTGGGAGGTTCCCCTGGTTTTGGTAGCGTAGAGATATGTGCCTGTAGCATGTCAGTGGGCATATTGCCTGTGTGGTAGCAGTGATTAAATAGGTCTGTCATGTGGGGGGCTAGGATATGTCTAAAGGTGCGGTAATACAAATTAGTGAAACCATCAGGCCCAGGTGATTTATGTGTTGGTAAGTGGAGTGTTTGATGAATTGTCCCCTAAGAATGGCCTTATGTGCCTGCCATATGTTTTCCGCTCGTACGTCTCCATTATTATTGAGTGTGAAGTATGCCTCTATTTCTCCCTTAATCTGTGCGACCAATGTATGGTCAGTTAAAAGTGCATCATTGAGGCGCCATGTCCGCCTGCCATGGGTAGGGTATTGCATCATAATTGTCAATGTGATAGGGGCATGGTCGGACCATGTAATGTCTCCTATGTGTGTTTTAGCTACCTTCGCTATTTGAGATTTAGGAAGTAAAAATCTATCTATCCGTGAGTATGATGTGTGGCTTAAGGAGTGATATGTATAGTCCTTATTCAGGGGGTTAAGTGTCCTCCATACATCTAGTATCCCATGATCCGTATGTGTTTTCCCTATGAGACTAGTGGATCGTGTTCTTTGTTTCATGGTTTTTTGTTTAACTTTATCTGTGGATGTGGTGTCTAGGTCCGCGTCAATGAGGCAGTTTGTGTCTCCGCCTATTACGATATCACCGAATTTGTGAGCATTTGAGAGGGTGAGGACTTTGTCTAAGAAAGTATGTTGGTCGTTGTGGGGGCCATATACATTAACCAGGGTTAGCTGTATATTATTTATTATGCATTGTAGGATGAGGTTATCTGCCCTCCTTATCATTTATCTTTTTAACTAGCAGGAAAGACACTTCTTTACTTATCATTTTGTACGTACTATGAAATCCAATAGGGAAATGTTTAAAGGAGAACTTTGATTGATGTCTTGTTTGGAAATGTGTTTCCTGATATAGCGCTATGTGAGCATCATGTCTTTTTGCCTCCATGAGTGCTAATCTCCGTTTGTGGGGTGAATTTAAACCCTTGGCGTTTAGGGAGAATATGTTAAGCAACATGGTATTGGCATGGAATCTCAGTGTTGCATCGCTTGCGCATTCTGAGAGTTTTTAAAGGCACATTGGTCGTCATTTGTTCAGTAGAATATAAGTAATGTGTGCAGTAAGCAAGAGTGCTATTTTTTTGTGCGTGTATGAGAGGTTGTCTTGTTGTGGGGTTAATCCGTCGAGCATTTAGTCTAGTCAACATTCGTTGAGAGGTTTCCTTCCATGCGTTGTTTGTCATAAGGGGAGGGGGAAACTTGATGGGAGTGGGAAAACTTAGAACATAAAACAAACTATATACAAAAGTCATGTCTCCAGGGTGAGACTTGGTCATAAGTAGGTTAATAGGCCAAAAAAGCCCACATGGGGTGGGAGACCTCTTGCTTGGCCTCTTCACGAGGTTATCTTATGGTGAAAAGGGGAAATCCCCGTCCGAGTTGAACTCGGTTGATACCTTGTGTGCTTATATGTTGGTATCATGTATGAGGATACAAGAATGATGGCTCAGTGGTTAACTAGTATGATTACTACATTTAGATTACAAACAGTGCATACAAATTATAAATGTAAAAGACCTTATTGCATATGGAATACATATGGCATTTGTCAGTATCTAGGCATTGATAAAATACAACCATTAAGCATTCTATTTTCACTTAGCTGTGGCTGCAGTGAACCATGTGTGTGTCAGCTTCATTGGTGATTTGGATGAATGTCTCTGGTTTGGGAACTTGTTGGTACTGTCATGCACGGTGATTTTCCATTCATTTAGCAATCTTTCTCCATCTTTGGGGGTGAGTAGGTGATGTTCTGTGCCGTTGCGTCGTACTATGAGTCGTGTTGTGCATAGCGCTTTGGTAATTGGTGTGAAAGTCCGTCTTGTCGCCAATGTGGCTGCTGACAGGTCTGTATATAGTTGGATATTTTCGTATTCACCTGGGAGCGGGTGCTTTTTCCTGGTTGCTTGCATGATTTCCTCTTTTGTAGTGTAATAATGTACTCTTGTGATGGTATTTCTCAGGACCATTCATGGTAGATGTTTGGGTCTGGGTAATCTGTGGATCCTATCTAGCAGAAGGGCAGGCGCTGGGGTGTTTGGGAGTATTGTTCGAAAGAGAGCTCTCGCATATGTTCCCAGGCCTGCCGGGCTAACCTCTTCAGGGATTCCGCGGATATGGATGTTGTTCCGCCTGTCCCTATCTTCATGATCCACCAGTTTGGTAAGTATGGAGTCCATTTTAGCATCCATTGTTTCGTAGGCTGAGGCCACATTGTTATGTGCCGAGATTGTTTCCTCTGTTTTCGTTTCAAAGTAGTCTGTTCATTCTCCTAAGCGTCTTACTTCATTTCTAATGTCTTCCGGTAGTTTTGCAAAGTCTGCTTGTAGTGATGTTCTTAATTCAATCAGCATTTTCTGGATTGATGAGTCAGTGGCAGGAGCAGCTTTTATTGAGATTGTAGTTTCATCGCTCCGTCCGGAACTCTGCGGGCCTACCAGTGCCATCTTGCGCGCGGCATGTTGGCTATGTCAAGGCCCCTATTTGTAATGCTGCCGGTTTGAGCTTCGATTTTTTGACCGTTTGCTGTGCCATCATTGGTGTGGGGATGCCCGCTGTAATGGGTGCTTTTGTTCTGATTTTGCTTATCTAATCGCTGTGGTGAGCGGGTTCTTTCCAGGAGCTGATCTCTTACACATCCGTCTCCTTAAGCGGTCAGGCCACGTTCCTGAATACTTTTTTTCTAATATGTATAGTGAGAGTAACTTGTCCAGTAAAATGCAGTCACTTTGTATATGTTACTGAGGAAAGTAGTTTGCAATTTCAAAAGTACAAGCAGTGTCACAAAACAACTATGAAATCAAATAATTCATCTCTTACTATAAATAAATAAACCATAAATCAGTACAAAAATTCTAAATCAATGAGAGCCAAAGTAAGTGTGCTATGCATAAGGATGGTGGTAGTAGTTGTAGTAGTTGAAGAAGTAGTGCTAGTTTGGTTGTGACAACTGTTTAGAATCAGATATAGTGCCAGTAGACCCGATGCCATCCTAGTACTTTCTTTTGTGCTTCGTTCCTCAGTAAAAAAGAGTTGTGGTATATTTGTAGATATTACTTCATACTAGTACTAGTAAAATGACCCTTCATTCAACCTCTACTCACTTCCTTGCAGTACAATTTGCACTTTGCAAGTTGGCTTTCTTGTAGGCACTCAAGGTAATTCCATACTTTACTTCATTGGTGCAATACAGAGCTCTCAGCACTTTGCCTTTTGTCTGCTGAAGTTGCAGGTAGATTTGCATCAGTGGCAGTAGAAGTTGTCTAACCCTAGCCTGTACACTGGCACTTGGTTGATTAAGGGAAATGTTGATGGTGCTGGTACTGGAGATGTAGGTGGTATTGGTGATGATGAAAGTGGTGATGGTACTTGGGTCAGTGGTAGCAGGTGAAGCTGATGTT